TCCGTGCTATGAAAAGAGTGGCAAATCATTCAGTCTCCTAAGTTAAGGCATCCGTGAAGTTGGTGACTTTCCAGCTGGAGGTGCAGGGAAACTGCAGAAGCTTTTTCTCTCTCCCATTTATTCCTATGGGCAAAGAGAGAAAAACTGGTTTGTAGACTCCCGTGCCCTCAGGAGAGCAGCTTTTTTCTGCTGCTTGATTTGTGTTTCTAAGTGTGAGTTCTTAATGCAGAAGAGCCAGCTAAGCTCCAGCTTCTTTGGGAAACAGAGCACTCCAGTGGATGTTCCTGTATATTGTGCAACACAGAACACTGTCTAAAACGTCACTTTTGTAACTAAAGTACTTCACAGTTCAGCTCTGTGATAAGAGTTGCAAATCATTCAGTCTCCTAACAGAAAGCATCCGTGAAGTTGGTGACTTTCCAGCTTGAGGTGCAAAGAAACTGCAGAAGCTTGTTCTCTGCCTTTCATTCGTATGGGCTAAAAGCCACATATTTTTAGACTGCATTGATCTGAGGACAGTTGCTTGTTTTGACTGCATGACTTGTTTTTCTCAGTGTGAGTTCTTAATGCAGAATAGCCAGTTAAGCTCCAGCTTCTTTGGGAAGCAGGCACTCCAATGCTTGTTCCTGTATACAGCGCAACACATAGCTCTCGTTAAAGCGTCATTTTGTAAATAAAGTACTTCACAGTTCCGCGATTTTGAAAGTGTGGCAAATCATTCACTCTCCTAAGAGACATATCCGGAAAGTGGGTAACTTTTCAGGTGGTGGTGCAGAGGAACTGCTGAAGCTTGTTTTATCTCCCATTCATTCCTATGGGCAGAGCCACAAACACGTTTGTAGAATCCAGTGCTCTGAGGAGAGGTGCTTGTTTCTACCACATGATTTGTGTTTCTAAGGGTGAGTTCTTAATGCCGAAGGGCCAGCTGAGCTCCAGCTTCTTTGGGAAGCTGGGCACTCTTATGCCTGTTCCTGTATACAGCACAACACAGAACTCTGCTAAAACAACACTTTGGTAATTAAAGAACTTCACAGTTCTGCACTGTGAAAAGAGTGGCAAATCACTCAGTCTCCTAAGAGAAAGCATCCGTGAAGTTTGTGACTTTCCACCTGGAGGT